GTGAAAGTATAGTGTGATGGTCTCACTGAGGGACAAAGATGCCACTCTAATGTTAGTGAAAGTATAGGGTGATGGTCTCACTGAGGGACAAAGATGCCACTCGTTTGCTGATAATATAATTACGTACGTTCAAATGTGTTTATCACATTAAAATAGAATATTTACTTTAGGAGTGATTCAAATATAAAAATAATGGTAGCAAATAGGTGTCAAAAAAGAAGAGGAAAAAAGAAAAATTAAATTATTTGGTGGTTGGTTGGTTGTGGCATCTGGCATTTTAGGATTTTTTCTTGTCATAATTTGAAACAAGTATGGATGAATTTTCCTAGCTCGATGATTGTTTTGTCATTTTTACTTTTTAGTATATCTGTAAGTTGTTCGTCATCCGTCCCCAAGTTGCTTTTATTGTATTTAATATTCTTGATCATGATTTCTCGTTCCTTCTTGTATAGATTTTTGTTTTTTTGTTTTCAATTTCCTGCTTTTCACAAACTGGGCAAATTCGATCCTCCGCTAAAATGTTATTATATCTGCCCCTTTCAATTTGAAGGGTATGAGCACTTATTCTGAGTTTTGGCATAGCAGGTCTATGGTTTGGATTTTTGATTGTGGTGAGATATTTTTCATATGCAAATTCTGTTTTAATTTTCCTATAGGTTCGTAACTTGTTTTTATGGTTTTTACCTTTATTGTCATCGTGTAATGTTTCTGTGCTATGTATTTCAAAGGATTGTTCAAGTTTGCGCGTTACTGTTTCAGTGATTTGTTTGTCATCAAGAGATTTATGGTTTTCCCAAATATTTCCCATATTTAAATTTTCTAAAATTTGTTTTATGTCTGTTACCCAGTTGTCTTTTCCTTTTTTATCAAGATGTATTCCAAGATTGTAAGCTTCATGTACTAGCGAATTTGGGTTAGAATTATTTATTTTGATCCAATATTTGATCATATATTTTAAGCTTGTTGCTAGGAGAGGATATCTTCCCAACTCTAGTAGGCTTGCCAAATTACTTGCTTTGCTATTTACTTTTAGAAGGTATTTGCAGAAATGTATTTGTACTTTTTCCATTGGTGTTGACAGATTTGCCATTAGATGCGATTTGTTGATGTTCTCTCTCGTCCAAATTTCACTGCAGCTCTAGCTCTGAGGTCTTCTTGTGCTCCGATGAATTTACCTGATTTGTGTAGTTTAATGCTGAGGTATGTGTAGGTTTTTGTATTTTCAAGTTCCTTTCCATCAACATAGAATTTGACCTGTGATTTTTTTGACCTTCTTTTTGAGTTTCCATTTCTGACAGTAAGTTTCAAGAGAATTTATGGCATTTTGTAAGCCAGTATGTGATTGGGATAATACTACAAGGTCGTCTGCATATAGCAGACATGGGAGTCTGAAAACGAAGTCCGAAAACGGCGACTTATAATTTGGTCTTCGTCCGTGCGTATCTCAGAATCCCTTGGATGATCCCATTCATTCTTTGCATGTGCCTAGTACTTTATGTGGGACATATGCACATGCAGTGGTTTAGCGATTCGATTCACAATGGCTGACCGGCTGCCATCTTGTTTTTTGAAAATGTTGTATTTTGGACATGCTTTGTCAGTTTTCATTCAAACTTGGTACATAGATTACACATGTTAGGATACATGTCCATGACGATTTATTTCACAATTGGATCAAAGATGGCTGACTGGCAGGCATCTTGTGGGGTTTTTTTATGCGGTATCTTGGACGTGCTCTGTCAGTTTTCATTAAAATTTGGCACATACATGTACTTTATACATGTTAGGATGCATGTCCATGACAATTTGTTTCAAAATCTGGTCAAGGATGGCCGATTGACAGCTATCTGACTTTTTGACCTTACTACTATATTTCCACAATTTATGTACCATTTTCATTCGTATTTGGCACATACATCATACATATCAGTGTGTTTCATAATCAGATCAAAGATGGACGAATAACGGCTGTTTTTATTTTTAGCCATATTACTACTACACGGGACACGTGTTTTGATGTA